GCTAACCCGGAGCTAACGGGAGAATAAACTCCCGTGGAAGAGCAGCCAGCACTGTAGCGGTCGGTAAATGCCGCTGAAACACATTAATAAACAATGAACCACGGCACTCTGGAGAAAAGTATAAGGTTGGAGAAGTCGTTATTTAATTTAATCTGGCTTCGTATGATTAAAAGCAACACGATCATCGACCCGACACAGTCCCCGGCCCGTTGTTGTTGTGAGGTGAGCTCCGTTGGGGAGAAACTCAGCGACGTAAACTGTGACGTCATGACGCAGCAGCGGCAGCACCAGTCGGGCTCTGAGCGGTGTGAAAAGAGCCGGCGCTAAACCGAAGAACCGGTTCTGAACCAGAAAAGCTCTAGCACGGAGCTAGAAGGGGAAAAGCCTTGGTGTGAAAGGGGTATGTGTAACCCTCATGCTCATATTGGCTAGCTTTCCAACACATTGTACGTGATAGGCTAAGGGGCCGGGACATTTCTAAGCGGTTGACAAATCACAACAGAGCAGGCCAGCTAACCAATCAGAGCAGACTGGGCTCTGGTTTCAGACAGAGGGTGAAAAGAGGTGCTGCGGCACAGGCAGTATGAGAAAAATAAAGAGCTTTTTGAACATTAAAGCACGGAGACATGTCACAGTAGAGACACTACATACTAATATAGCATGTTCGAGTCCCACTGCAGTCAGCATGTCCTTGGGCAAGACACTTCACCCCAAGTTGCTCCTGTGGGGATTGTCCACAGTACTGAATGTATGTAAGTCGCTTTGGATGAAAGCGTCTAACAAGTGACATGTAATGTAATGTAATATGAACCTGACAATTTGCATAATATGGCCCCTTTAATGGCAGTCAATCTGATACAACATAAAACAATACTATTGCATGTAATAACGGCACAAACAAGCCAAGTAAGATATCAGCCTAACAGGAAGCAAGGAAAAGAGATAGAAACTTAACTTTGATAAAACCATCTACTTTTATCCGGAACTATCCAGAGACCTATTTTTCCCACCACAGTGACGCTCTCTGAGGGAATAGAAATGTTTCCTAGAGCCAACTTTTCTATGGAAAGTCCTTTACAATTCAAAGCAGTTTTGTGTTATCTGTCAGTGCAGATAAAAATAGAGACAGATGATGAATTCTGTTTTGAAAAAGGACAGCATTTCATTCACAGGACAATTCAGAACAAAGAGTTTGATTACATCAAGCGTTTCCCAAACACGGCAGGAAAACAACTCAGAGCAGACAATGTGCTCTCTCTTTCTCTGCCCGTCTCTCTGCCTTTTTCTCTTTCAGATAAACACTAATTTTCTATGTAAATGTCACCGACCCCTGCGATAGAAGGGGAAACGGATCCGGAGTGATGTGAGGGTGAACAGAACTGATATAAGTTTTCCATTTGAAGATAATGACGCGCCGACATGCACACACATGCTGAGAAAACAATAACACATGAGCTCAGTGAACTGCCACCTCATCTGTCCCAGTGACAGTGTATACAGCAACCAGGCAGTCACTTCCTCTAGATAAACTCACACTGTGGCTGTGGTGTGAACAAAAACACCATTTCTCTACTGCGCTGCCTAGCTTCTCCAATAAGACACATTTCAGCAATATCATATCATCTAGCTCCAGGCACAAAGAACTGTGGACTGTGAGAAATATTTATTTTTTCTCCTCACAAGCCTCATTTCAAAGAATTACAGCAAACATGCACAGACTCAGGGGAGGACAGTATGGATAAAAACAACTTTGATCACTATTCTATAAACACAAGTGTTGATGTTAAAGTCATGGTTTTTGCTGAATGTAATACATGACAAAACAATTATGTTTTATTTCCTGAAATAAAAGCAGTACTGCCCAATTTGCAACATTGGGTGTTTAATTAAAGTGCATGTGCATGACAAACACCTACAACTTCCACTCAAGGAATGCAGAAACAAAATAAGGAACACGAATGGCAAATCATGAAGTTTGCATATGTAACTTACTACTTTAGCTTTGTTTTGGTCTCCACTTACTCATAAAATAACTTTTTTTTTTTTAACCTTTATTTAACCAGATAAAAAAGCATTGAGATAAAATCTCATTTTCAATGCTGACCTGGCCAAGAAGGCAGCAACGTTACACATAACACATAACACAAACATATAAAATACAGAGAACATAACTAAGAAAACAAAAGACGAAAAAGCAGTCACTACATTGTGCACATTAGGACAGTAAGAAAAGTACTACTTATTACTGCAAGAGCAGCTGGTGGTGAGGACTTCAGACAACTTCAATTTAAAACATGCTATTGAGACAAGTGCCCTCAGTTTGAGGCTTGATTGAAGGCCATTCCAAGACCAAGGACCATAATAAAAAAAGACTCCTTTTTCCAGCCTCAGTCCGCACGGCAGGTACCTGGAACCGTATCCTTACTAACTGTCTCCTTACTTAATAATTGTTCCATTAAGCCCATGTTAACTAGCTAGCTAGGTGCGGTGGTGGCGAAGTCGATAGGGACTTGGCTTGGCAACTGGAAGGTCACCAGTTCAAGTCTCGGCAAGACCAAGTGCTACCGAGGTGTCCCTGAGCAAGGCACCATTCCCTACACAAATGGCAGCACACTGCTCCTAACACTAGGATGGGTCAAATGCAGAGAAACAATTTCCCCACGGGGATTAATAAAAGTCCATCTCTTTTTTCTTTAGTCGCTAACTTTGCCTGTTTTTGCTGGTGGCATATGCCATGAGAGCTCTAAGACTCAATCAAAACAAGTTAAGTTGTCGGATTGAAATAACCCAAAAACAAACACAAGTTTAAAGAGGCTCATAAAGCGATGTAGAGCTAGGGAACTACATATTTGGTTTGATAACTCAATGCGAGTTCATAACAAGCAATTCCTCCCAGAAAGAAGACAGTCATTTGATTTATGTTGACAAAGAAATATTGATTATATCTAAGTATATATTTTCCATAGAAGACATTAATACTGCCATGACGGAGCAGCTCCAACATTCTCTGCAGCTTCAATAATCAATATTGATTCAATTATAGTAATTCCTGTAAATTCAGGAAATGTGGTCAAATGACCACCTGATGATTCTGCAAACTGACCCACATACAAGTCTCTAGTACACACTGAAGTACGACGACACATTGTTTAAAGTTTAGGACTTAGAAAGGAAAACCACAACTTCTTTAAACTATTTGAAGTGCAGAAATCAAAGCATGCTGTGTATTGCTCTTGAGAGGGGTCTTTCTTTGGCTTCATCTGGAAACAACTCTCCCCTCTACGTGTCACTGCGTTAATGTGTGTACTGTGTAAAAGTTTTTGTGAGGGGAGCTTGCACTTAGCTACAAAGATCAAGGCAGAGTGTGTGTCTTTGTACATACGCTCAAATGCATGTGTGTGTTTTTTTGGAGGACTGAATGACACAGAGGGGAGACTTCAAAGCAGCTCTTTCATCAGACAAAGAAGAGAAGTAAAGACAAAGCAGGCACCTGCACACTCTGTTTGTCTCTCTCATGACCATGACTGTCTTTGTCTGTCTGACTATAGAGGTCTAACTAGCCTTACATAATACGGGTTATCTTAACAAAATAAAGGCGGTGTAGAGTTTCAGTGAAAATGAGCCTCATGTTTGCCAGCCTGAGCTTGTTGTCTCCAGGTTGTTGCATCATGATCCACAGCAACAGATGGGCAACACTGCCACTTCTGAATATCTTTGTTGGCAAGTTAAGGCAGTTCATTGGGAGAAAAAAAAAAAGTCAATAGGCGGATGATTTCAGAGAAACTTATTTTCTAACAATCCAAGAAACTTGAGCTAAGCCTTAGGGGCAGACTTATCACTATAACCTTGCCGTTCAAAAAGCGCCTCCAGCAGTGAGCAGGGAGCACTGGGAGGCAGCAGCCAAGAGAAGAAGAGAAGCGCTGGAGGACATGAGCTCACAGAAAAAGAAGAAGTTATTCAGTACATAAAATAAAATAATAGAGAAGCACCGATTCATCGCCCGCTGACTGGAATTGGTCATCAGCCTCATGTAGTTTGTGTTTAAAAATAATAAAATACAAACAACCACACACTGATGTCATTAACTACGGAATAAATAGATGGTTGGAGACAGACAATACAAAGTTGACTCTGTATTAAAGGCCTACATACACAGCATAGGAGAATTGTCTTAGAAATGTAAATAGTATTTGATTTGAAACCATTTCCCATTGGACAAAGAGCAGACTAAATCATCAAACAACCTCTGTTCAATACTTGATTTCTATGGTAGTTCATAAAACTATTCGTGTTCATAATCAATAAACACACTATGTAGTTATTTATCCAAAAAAGGTATAGAAACATCTGTTCATCCTTGTTCTTAGAAGGGAAGAACATCAGGAGAGGGTAAGATCAGCGGCTAAATAGCAGGTCAGACATGTAAAAGTTTGCCAAGTTGCAATTGTTGCATTTCTACTCACTTATGCACCCAAAACCCTTTCTTTTTTGTTGGTAACCTTAAACAGAAATACTCTTAACAGGTTGGAACTGTGCAAGTTGTCATCGAGCTGTGAGCTGTCAAGTGTTGATGGTGCAATTTGAGAGTAGCATCACCTCGTGAGAAGTGACGCCAAACTGTCATCCCACTCTGTTTCTCATGACACACACGAGCACACATCTGCAGTAGTGTCACCATGGGTTCTAAAAATAATGTTCCGATGTATTGCTTGTATTAACAAGAAAGGGGAACTTCCTTTCCTCATGTAGCTCATACAGAATGTAGCCTGCCTGCATGTCCAAGAAAAAGACTTTATACTATCAGAAATATGCACTTGCTAATGAGAATCAGAAATAGAGACACTGTCAACATGAGTAACTGAGCTACAATATGTTTCTTCTGAACTTTAACAGTTACAGCTCCAGTGTAGGTACAAAGTTAAAAGCTGTGACTCTTGAAGTATACACAAAGCTGACACTGCTGCATGGTGAACTTGTTTAAGCAGTAGTAGTATTATTACCCCTGCTGGTAGACAGCCTGGTGCGGCTGCGGGACCGGCTTCGCTGACGCTGCAGTCGAGACTTGCCCAGGAATCTGTAGTAGTACGAGGGTCTCCCAGATCCCTTTCTCGTGACCCCTGCCATGGTGCTAGTTTCCCCTCTGAAGCCCACCAACAACCAGGTATCTCTGCAGCACTGAGAACACGTCCTCTTGAATCTGGTTTCAGTGCAGATAAACTCCAGACAACATTCTCATGAACTCTGTGTATTGCAAACTTCACTCAGAGTCCTCCAGCACACATTAAGTTGAAGTCCGTGTGTTGTGATGAAATCCAATCCATTGTGAAAGTGTTTCCCATTGGAGAAAGAGAATATTGAACCATTAGACATGCACCTCTGCTCAGCACTCATGTCCTGTCTTACGGTCCTGTCCCACAAGCTTAGATCTAAGCTCCACCTTTGAACACTCCCCCTCAAAGTTTCCCACAGCTAGATCCCAGAGGCATGATGTCCGGAGTACTGTGTATCCTGAATGACAGGAATGCTGTTCCTGTTCCCAGTGCCAGTGTAAAGTGAATATTATAGAGAGGCAGAAAGTCAGTGCGTCAGTTTCAAGGAGCTTCTTGTAAAACTGTTTCATACATACATCTAAAACTCCTGTGTCTCTGTGTGAGTGTGTAACAGACAGAGAGAGGGCTTTGTGTTTGAGAACAACAGGAGGAAAAGTTTGGGCTGTATAGAAAACATGCATAGATAAGGGATTGAGTGGAATGGAGTTAAAGAGACAGCTATCAGATTACAGCATGTTTTCCTCCCCTCCATCAACCTGACTTATCTGTTACGGACACACTGATAAGATCTGGTGCAGTAAACAAGTGTGACATAAAAAGAAAGCCCAGCACTGAGAGGGACTCCTGATCCAGTGTTAGTCTCAGGCAGGTTCCTGGTTTTACAGCATCACCCACTTAATTTGCCTCCCAAGGCAAGAAAGGCCTGGCAGGGAGGGGCGGCCTATCAGAAGCAGATGTAAATAGGCTGTTAAACAAAGTCTAACAGCCAATCAGAGCACGCCCTACAGGAAAGGGTCAGGCAGATGGACCATAGTCCACATAATGACAGACATGGACAATTGCGTGTGTGTGTGTGAGTGTGAGTGTGAGTGTGAGTGTGAGTGTGAGTGTGAGTGTGAGTGTGTGTGTGTGTGTGTGTGTGGGTGTGTGTGTGTACTACTGTAGTATGGTCGGCTGTTTCACATGTTGATTTTGACCTTAAGAAATCATGATGCATGAAAACACACTGTAATCTAATTATAAGGAAGTCCTCTGCAGTGGTGGACAGTTACTCAGTTTAGCTTAGTTTACTTGAAATATTAGGTTCACATTAATAAAAAAGTATGATCAACAAATAATTATTCACGTTTTATAAAAGGTTATGATAAAACTGTATTGAAACCTTGGTGAGATTCCAAAGCGAGCAAGTCAAAAATATTGTTGAAACTTTCACAAGTGACAAGGATTGTTTTAAATTCCTATCCAAGTCCCAAGTCTTGCTTTTCTGACTGATACCAATACTTCCAAGTCCTACCAAGAACCCTTCAGCACCAGAAACCTAATGTCTACACCCTATAGCCAACAACTGGTACCATTATGTTTGTACTTCATAAAGAAATCTGAACAAATAAGGTTGAAAAAGTCTATCTATATCATCATTCCATCCATGAAGAAGATGATATGTGGTTTAACCTGTTAAGCCCTGAGCCTGTTTTTTAGGTCTCAGGCTCGAAAATGACATTCCCAGAACAAATGACCATATCTTCCCTTCTAAAAGGGTTAAATTAATAATATTTTTTCTCAAAGTAATAATAAACCTGTGAGTTGGATGTAGAAAAGTCAGAATCAATATAGATGTTTTTTATTTTAAAGAAAATTCAGATTTGACATAGTAAAAAACTGTAAATTATAGTGTCCGTCCAAAAATTATTTTTTACTTATAGTGAAAACTACCCTTGGATGATGGTAAGGTAGACTAAAAGCTTTAGGAATCCAAAGTACAACATATAATAAGTACCCTGTATCAAGATTGATGCAAAACAAGTGATATTTGACCTTTTTAGAGAGATTTAGCAAAAATAAACCACTTCTGGGGTCATTTGGGTGGATTTTCCATATCTCTGGCCCCCCTTGCTCGACTTTGATGGTTGACACCTCTTTCTGACCGTTAGAGCCAATAGAATTGAAGGGGGAGTCCCCCACACACACTCATTGTGAAAAGAAAAGGTGGGGGCTTCGCGCATGCAGTTTTGCATCAGAGCGAACCTATCTCTAGCTTTGACATCTGGAAACGGAAAAGCAGTTTTATTGCTTATGGATTATCAGAAATCATTTCAAAGGGACACAGACACATTGGATTAACCTATGGATTAACTTCAGCGGTGTTTTTATCGTTTTAATGCCATTGAAGACCACTTTGGAGAGACTACAGAGCCAAGGTAAAAATGTTAGCATTTTAGCTACCTAGCGTCACCTGTTTTGATGTCCGTTTTTGCTTTATAACGTCGCCATTTCGTATAATTCTGTGATAATGATGGTACCCATCGATTCTGTGTCACCTCACGATGTGAAACAATGTCATGGATGTAGAGAAAAGATAAATAATAAGGTTTTGTGAGTGATTTTTGGTGCAGTAAGGTGTTAGCATTTTTCGCTCGTTGCTAATTCAGAGGCTCAGTGTTAGCATTGTGGGTGTTCTTTTGAAAAAAAAAAAAAAATGATCAGTTAGATGAGTTTCTTCCCGTTACATGGATATAAAACATTCATAGTTTATTAAATGAACATGCCCTCAGACACTGTTTTCTGCAAGATGTTGCGGCAGTGCCCCGGTACCAGGGTCTCTCGGGCTTAACAGGTTAAAGCTCTGTAAAACGTTATAAAGGGGTAGATATGAAAGAGCATTTCAGACAACATGTTCAAGGCTAAAGGCTCAGAACAGAACATAGTACGTCTGACATTTGAGAAGTAATGAAATAAAATAACATTGACCACAAAGACACCTTTGAATATAAATGCTGATATATGAATAAAAGCATACAAAACAAGTCCTTCATCTACATCCCCAAGATAAATGAATTGAATTCTTCTTATCTTCCTCTGCATCACCTTTTCTTATGGCTGCTCAATTGTTCACTGTGATAGCACTGTAGCTAGTGAGAGCCATGGGAACCATAATGCTACACACAGTATGACGTTTTTGTCATTTCCTCAGCCCATAAACTCACAATGACAGAATGCAGCAGTGTGTGTGTTTCTCTATGTGTCTAACATAGGCTTCACTGTTCCCCCCGTCCCACAGAGAGTATTTTGGTGGACCATTAGTAGCTATACATCCTTGAGAATGAGTCAGACGTGTGCCAGGTAGCAGAGGGAGTTTAAAGGCCTGCAGGCTTCACACTGCTGCCGCGGGGCTCATGAAACACCCCGAAGACACTGTTAACATGTTCTCTCAGTCTCACGGAGAAACCAGTGTCAAAGTATGTTTAAGTTTTAAGGTCTAGTCTCTAATGACACATAAATATTAATAAATTAGGGTCATAGCTACTTGGCTGGTGTGAGGTCTCCCTTAAAGCTGAATGATTTGTCTTGCATGCATAATAGTCATGCTGGGAATAGCTACCTAGAATGAGTTCTTGTTAGTAAGGACAGGAGCCCAGTGTTTCCCCTACTATTGTCTTGGAGGGGCGCTGCGCCCCGCCAACGGAGCCCCCCCAGAAATTCAAGGTGTTTAAAAAAAAAGAAGAAATTATATATATATATATTTTTTTTATATATATTTTCTTTAATATATATATATATATATATATAGCACCAAATTTCAACTAATCTATATGTACTGTCACTTTTCACATTGAACATGTGCTCTTTTATTAAATAAACTAAACGCTTTCATTTTAAGTTGTGAGTTTAGTGTTTTTGACCCTAAAGGCCCTGACAAGCAGTCACCAGAGAACTCGCCGACGCCGACTGTTGCGTCGCCGTGTTCTCCTGCGTCTTGGCCATGTGTCGCACTGGCACACACCGCAAAGACTTCAGCCGAGCACGTACGAACTGCGCATGTGTGAGTGGCAATAACTCTCCTTACCAGCAGGCGGCGGTAGTGTGTATTCGTCATTCAAAAGAGGCAACAACCGGAAGACAGAGAAGAAGAACAGACTGCGTGATCTAAACAAACAACAAATAGCGTGTGCGTTCCATTTTCACTCTCGTCCATCGAAAACATGTTTCGTGCGGTACTGGAGCTATCAGCCATTGGAGTGTTGCTTGTGGAAGACATTCTCAAGCAACCGTTTCGCTTCTCATGCACTGATTCGCTAGCTGAACAGCCAATCAGAGTGATTTCTTGGTCCGACTGCCTGTGTCTGACGCACGGCCGATTCAACATGTTGAATCGGCCGTGCGTCGGCCGTGAAAGGCCAAATAAGGCGTGTCACGGCCGACGGTTCGGGACACACCAAATTGAGTTTGGGCGACAGGGCGCGCTTCGTCGTCCGACTAACGAAGACGGCCGATTTCGGCCTGGTGTGTCAGGGCCTTAAAGGCCCTGACACACCAGGCAGTCACCAGAGAACTCGCCGACGCCGACTGTTGCGTCGCCGTGTTCTCCTGCGTCTTGGCCATGTGTCGCACTGGAACACACCGCAAAGACTTCAGCCTTACCAGCAGGCGGCGGCAGAGTTCCCGTTAGAATATTTTTTTGCCGGTCAACATGTCCGTTAAAGTTGAAATCTTCCGGACAAAATTAGATAAGTGCCGGTTAAAGGTCTTCTTTGTTATTTATTGAGCTTTAAAACAAATTGATATGATTCGACATTAAACAAACTAATTATAGTAGATTAACTACATTATTCAAAAGTGTACAGTAATTTACAAAAACGCGGGAATAATAAACGGAGCGCTCTCTCCTTCTCCTGACAGCCCGTCAGTATCATGCAGCTCGCGGATCCAGTAATGAGTGACCCGACAGTAAAACTAAACATATCTATAACTAGTTTAGGTAGTTTGAGAGGTAATTAAAATAGCTACGTGTGATTTTCTAACCTGAAGTGTGTTTTGCTCTGCTCGCCGCTGCAGGGGATCATGCAGAGCTGCGTGTCGACTCGTCAGCAGCAGCCGATCTCTCTCTCCTGTCAGATTAGACTTTACTCGCATTTATGTCCATATCGATCAGATCTAGCTAGTTCTAGCTAATGATATGACTACCTGCTTGTTAAAAGACACCTAAACAATAAGCGTCGCTATGCAACCGGATGAGGCCACAAAGTATAGCGCAGCATTATGCATTTGTTTACATGCCCACCGGAACCCCGAGGCATTACCAACAGATCAACGCACAATCAACCCATACAGGACATCTCTTTCTCCACATTAAGTGTTAGACATTAGAATTGACAATTTTTGTCTGTCACATACTCTTTTGTCTGTCACATACTATTCTTGTCTGTCACATAAGTGGCGCAACTGATGCGGTATTGCGCTAAGGGAAAATTATTTTGACCGGACATTTTGACCGG